CACCGCCTCCACCCCCGCCTCCTCCGCCGCCACCCCCACCCCTGCCCCCCTTGTTCCTGCGGCGCCCGCTCGAAGCAGACGCGGTCCCGACCTTCTCAGCACCAAGAAGGTCGACAGCAGCAGCAGAGGCGACAGAGGGGAGGAGGGGGGAAGGGGAACACCCCTCAAAGAACGGGGTGCGGGGGTCGCCACGAGAGGTGCCTACAGCGACGATGCTCGCCTCAGCTGCAAGCAGTTCCTTCTCGAGGAGGGCAACAGTGAGCTCAGTGGGGGAGCGAGAGAGGAAGTGGTCCCTGACTGCGCGCAGAGAGTCAGGGAGGCGGGTGACGATGTGGTAGAGAGTGATCCAGAGCGGGGGGGGGTTGCTAGTGAGAAACTCGGCAGGCATAGCAGCGCGAAAGCGGGCCTCACTAGTCTTAAGGTGGGTGATGAGGTCTGCGACAGTGTGAAAGGAGGCTAGGTCAGGGAACAGGTAGGGGAGAGTGAGGCGGCCTAGCGTGGCAGAAGCGGGTGAGGAGTAGCGGGCAACTACAGCGGTGTAGAGGTCCTTAGCAGTCTTGCACTGGCCGAAGTGCTCGCGCTCGTCTAGCGGCAGGGAGTTGCGAATAGCAAAGCGAGCGTGCGCATCACGGGTCTGCCACTGAGAACGCAGAGTGCTGTCAGCAGACGAGTCAGGGGCAGTGGCATGGCCTAGGGCGTGGTCGTACAGTGAGATATCTTCCTTGGCAGTGAGCTGTAGGAACAGGTGCAGGTCATCTAGCCAGGTTTCGAACTTCACTGGACGGCCCTCGGCATCGAAAGCTAGAACTGGCGGACTAGCCATAGTGACAGTAGCAGTAGCAGTAGTAGCAGTAGTAACAGTAGTAGTAGGAAGCAGGCCGCTGGAAAGGTGTGCGGAGGGTCAACGGGGCCGGCGGGGCCGCTAGGCAAGGCGCGGGCGGGGTCGACTGTCCGTAGTGGCACACGAGCGGCAGTAGTAGGTAGCGTGGCAGCAGGAGCTGCAACGGTGCACTGGTGGCAGCTGCAGTGGCAGCAGTGTGCACGGTAGGTAGAAAATAAACAACAGTGAGAGCGAGTGCCTCGCGGGCGGCGGCTGCAGAAGCGCACGGGCGGCAGCGGCGCACGGGGAACGGCGGTGCACGGGCAGCGGCAGCGCACGGGCAGCGGCAGCGTAGGAGCAGCGACGGCGCACGGGCAGCGGCGGCGCACAGGCAGCGGCGGCGCTCGGGAGGCAGCAGTGCGCAAGCAGCAGCGGAAGCAGCGGCGTACGAGCGGCTGCGGGCAGCGGGGCGTGCGCGAGTAGGCGACGGGCTTATACGCACGGGCAGCAGCGCCGACAGCGCACGGGCGGCTGCAGCAGCGAGCGGTGCGCAAGCAGCAGCGGCAGCAGCGCACGGGTGGCAGCGGCGTCGGTGCACGGGCGGCAGCGGCGTCGGCGGACGGGCGGCTGCGGGCAACGGGCGTGCGGCAGCTGCGGCGGCGAGCTGCGGGCCTGCGGGGCCACGGCGGGGTGTGCGCGAGTGGGCGATGGGCGGCTGCAGCAGCGGGCGCGTCAGCGAGGCGCACAGGCAGCGCGCGGGCAGCGTGCGGGGCCGCGCGTAAAGAAAAACAGCCGCGCGCGTGCGGCTAGCGGGATACGCGCGCTAAAAAAAAAAAAAAGTCGAGTCGCGCGCGGGCGGCTGGCGGGCTGCGCGCGCGCGGTAGGTAGGAGGCGCACGAGGGCGCGTAGGCGCACGAGGCGCACGGTAGGTAGGTAGGTATGTAGGTAACGGTGGGCCCTAAGAACGGTCCTAGCGAAGGACCTGCTCTGAAACCATGTCAGAAATAACGGACTGGAATGATGGACTAGCAAGGATTGTGAGTACAAATATGAAACCCTAATGTTGTGACCCCCCTATAGGCTAACCCACTACAGCCTACACAAATACAACATGTATAATGTTTGACACGAAGGTCTCGGGTTCGAATCCCGGTGTGTGCACCTCGGGCATCCCAGTGCGGGGGGGTGTCAGAGGTCCACTGGTGATCCCCGATTGATCCTAGGGAAGGGTTACAGGCACGGCGGCCTGGGGGGTTATGGGCGCACTCACCCGCTACATAAACAAGCCCTTTTATCCCAGTGGTTAGTGGCTGGGATTCTGACACCTTTGTCATTTGCAGTATGACGTTTGTCTCTCGTGACTGAAGTTGAACTACGCCTTGTCGTCGTGTGCGCAGGTTCTGATTGTTGGCGACGGTGATAACTACTTCTCGTTGAAGCTGGTATTCTCGTTGCACGAAGCGTCCTGAAGAACACATGTGTTGTCCGCAGCAACTGTCCAAGAACCATGTGTCCTTCCCGGATGGTTCACTCTGGGCGATGGCGGCGTATGTCGGGTTCGGCTGCAGTAACTCGCGGCGGGGCGTGCTGTTGTCAAGCTGTTCTTCCGGTGAGTAATGAGGTGGTGACTCGGTGATGCAGGAGTCGGTCAGTTTTGCCATACAACTGACGATGTTTCTTGTTCCTTGCGCAGGTTGTCCCGCAGGTGGTGTTGAGGCTTGAATCTGGGTCGTGGGATTCGCTTGCGTTGAGGCAACTTGGCTGCTTGAAGGTCGAAGCTGTCGCTGTTGTGGCGTTGACTGTTGTCGATTCGGGCAGTGTGTGCGTGGGTGCCCAGACGTCTTGCAGATGTGGCAGAACGGAGGTACGGGTTTTGGTTGTTGTCGGTTGTTGTTGTTGTTGTAGCGTCGCTGAGTGTGGAACGCGAATTCCGGTACTGATGTTTTTCTCTTGTGTCGTTCTTCTTGCAGGTCCATGTCTTGCTGCTCAGCATGTATTTCGGCGCAGAGCGCTGCTTCGGAGATTCTTCCGTGGGCTCGGAGAATGGCTTTTGTTGCGCGCCATTGAGGACCGAGGCCGCCGATGATGACTGTCACGAAGGCGTCTTCAGAGATTGACCCTCCGCATCGAAGAAGCTTGTCGCGCAGTTCGCGACATCGGCTGACATATGCCATCCCCTTTTCGCCTGGTTTCATTTCAGCTGTTGTCAGTTGCGCCATTAGCCGACTTTGACTGACGCTGTCTGTTGCTTGATACAGGTCCTTGAGGTGCTTGTACGCGAGTTCCGCGGAGTTGCCGAATCCCCGGTAAGACCGTATGTTCTGCTGCTGAGTCGGTGTGATGTTTCTCAGTAGGATCGTGTACGCCATCATCGACTGATATGTGTACTGCTGCTTCTCATACTGTGTGCCGTTTGTTGGGTATGGCAGGGACCCGTCGAAGAAGCCAAGTATCTGCGCGCCTTCCATCATCAGCTCGAATTCGAAAGACCAGGTAAAGAAGTCTTTTCCGTCGAAGGGCCTTGACGTCTGCAGCTTTAAGACGTGCGCGAATTGCGACTGTACTTGTAGTGCATCCAGTTGTCTTTCTTGTCCAGATGGAGCTTGCGGGTGCGGCATGAAGCTGATGGACCCGCGTTCGTACGGAGCAAAGGTAGGTTGTTGCTGATTCCCGCGCGCATATGATGAACCATCAAGACTCATTGGAGTCACGTTGTTGTTGTTGCTGTTGTTTGACTGCGCAGGTGCCGACTGCTGGTGTTGCTCGTAAAACGACATGAAGGAGAAGAACTTCTCCATCATACTCTGGTCGAAGTTGGCAGGCTGGCTGGCCGAAGGCGCTGCTGGTCCCGTTGTGGTTCCTTCCTCTGTCTGCAGGCCAGAGGCAGGAGGTGGGGTAGGAGTAGTCCCGGGAGAACCATTAGAGGAACTCCTCTCCTTGTATGTTGCCATGTCGTCTGTTGATGATCTGATAGTAGTTGAATTTTCCCTGACAGCTCTCATACCATGTTGGGCTGAGAAAAGCCCTTAGGATCTTTTGCAGGGGTAAATTCGGGGTAGAACAATTGTAATAGCGGAAGCGTTTAATGAAGATTGTTGAACCACCTTGCACTAGTGTGTGAGAGCAAAGTAAGTTGATTAAAGCAAGGGAATACAAGCGTTTATATATGAATACAAGGAATATGAAAGGATGCAGTTGTAACTACTTTACTGTTGCTGTTGCGGTTCGATACAGTAACGACTCGGGCAACCGCTCTGTAACGAGTCGGTTGTGTGTCCTTGCTGTCGTACTGTACTTGTCAGGTCAAAGGTCGCTGACCTTTGACTTTCGCGTAACCTCCGGCAACCTCTTTCAACCTCCGAGGGTTGACTCGCTCGTGCCTCGATATGACTCGCTTCGCTTCTGGTGTGATGTTTCGACACGACAGAGGCGCTTTAGGAATTACTTGTTTCCAACACGCTTCTCTTGGGGTTGAAATGGTGGGCACGTGAAACTCTCATGCGAGTAACGACGTGTTGCGACCCACACGGATTGGGTCTGGTCGGGTCGATCTGGTCGACCAGACTATCAGAATGTGATGTTTGTCTAGCCTGCAGTGGGGTACTCTATAGCAAGTACAGCCCAAATTAGGGTTTGCTATATGTACTCAACTGTCTGCTAGTGAAAACCACTCTTTCCTGCTTCTGATTCTCGCCTACTGTTTCGACATGGTATTAGAGCAGGTCGACCCTCCTGGGTCGATCCTATGGGTGGTCCCGCCCGATGCTTCCGCTGCTGTTCTGCCTATCGCACGCCCTGGGCGCGCGATGTCTGCTGCCTGCCGTGCGCTCAGGGCGCGCGTGTGAAAATGAGAACGAGGAATGTGTGCATTGAGCAGCATGAGGAGTACAAGTATGAAACCCTAAAGTGTTGTACCCCATATGAGCTACCCCACTACAGCCTACACAGACTATAGTGTATGAGTTTGACACACTCCCATAGGCAAAGTGGGGGAGAACAAGGGGTCACAAGACCAGTCAAGCAAAGCAAGGCAAAGCAAGCTCAGGGTGGATCACAACGTCACCACACATTCTGAGCACAAGTTCAAGGCCACAAGGCCAGTTCACATGCAAGATTACATATATATAACGCTAAACAAGCAAGAGCAGGTATATATATATATGTAACAGTACAAGCAAGGTCAAGAAGTGAGCAAGTGAGGCAAGGTAGGCACAAGACCTAACAGAGTACAAAAGCGCTGATGATCACAAGGCGCGAGTGCCTTAGTGAAGATATCAGCAGTGTTGGCCTGAGAGGCCACGTAAGCAAGACGCAGCTGACCACGCTGCTGCAGCTCACGAGCAAGGAAGTAGCGAAGAGCGATGTGCTTCGTTCTGTGCTCCAGTCTGTGCTCCCGACACAAGGCCAGCATGGCCTTGTTGTCTACGTACAGCACTGGAGGAGAACGAGGCGGCTCTCCCAGGTCAGTCAGCAGGTAGGTGAGCCAGTGTAGCTCCTGTGCAGCCATGGCCCCTGCGTAGATCTCAGCCTCACAACTGGAGCCGAGAACAGAAGACGAGCGGGTAGACCGCCACGAAACAGAGCCGGAACCAAGGCTGAAGGTGTAACCCTGTGACGACCGCTGCGTAGCCTGGTCGTCAGCCCAAGAAGCGTCTGCGTGACCAGTGAGGACCACTGGACTCTGCCCTCCAAGCACAAGCCCCATGCCCGACGTACTGCACAAGTAGCGCAACACCCTCTTCGCTGCAGCCATGTGCTCTGGTCTGTGTCTCCCAGGAGCAACATAGCGTGCCAGAATGCTAAGAGGGTATGCAAGGTCAGGTCGAGTGCAGGTCATCAGGTACATGAGGCAGCCAACAAGCTCTGGGTACGGGCCACTCGACTCTACGGACTCATCCGAAGGCAGAGCTGAGAGCGAGTGGCGTGTAGACAGAGGAGTGGCCTGAGGCGAGGAGTACGTGAAGCCGAAGCGCTGAAGGACCTGCTGCACCATGTGTGACTGAGTCAGGGTAATGGTGCACTGTGCTCTGTCCCGGGTGATCTGCAAGCCAAGGTAGCTGCGCAGTTCACCCAGGTCTGTGCACGTGTGTCTCTTCTGCAGCTCGGACTTCACGTGGGCGAGTCCAGCAGTGTCAGCTGTAGCAAAGACCAAGTCGTCGACGTACACGAGGATGTAGAACGGCGACAAAGAACTGTCGGTGCGCAGAAACAGCGACGGGTCGGCAGTAGAAGGAGCAAACCCAAGAGCCGCAAGTGTAGTCCTCAGTGTGTCGTGCCACTCACGAGGTGCCTGGCGGAGACCGTAGACTGGCCGCCGGAGGCTCCACTGGGTGCCAGGAGGAAAAGTCCCAGTGAAGCCAGGTGGGCGGCGCAGCCAGATCTCCTCGTGCATGCTGCCCTGCAAGAAAGCAGTGCTGAAGTCAAGAGAGTGCAGCTCGTAGTCTCGGTGAGCGGCTATGTGCAGCAGTACCCGAAGAGTGGTCATCTTCGGGGTGGGAGAGAAGGTCTGAAAGTAGTCAACTCCCTGCCGCTGACTGAAGCCACGAGCCACGTAACGCGCCTTGAAGACAGGCGGAGAACCCGGCGGCCGCTTTACCCTGAAAATCCACATGCCACTGACGATGTTCGCCCCAGGTGGGGGAACCTCGTCAACGTAGGTGCCTGTGGACTTCCAGGAAGCCATCTCTGCGTCCATGGCTGCCTGCCACTGAGAGGAGTAGGGACCCTCTATCGCCTCCGCGTAAGAGCGCGGAGTCGGGATGTCAAGTGCATCCGGGTCTCCCTCAAGGGCAAGCAGCATGGACACGAGATGAGGTGAAGCAGCAGCCAAGCACTGGAACTCCTCCTGCCTGTCCTCAAGGACGTCCGTGCTAAGAGCACACTCACCCTCGACGGACGGAGGACAGACAGACTCAGACTCAGCGACGAGACTGGCAGCGTAGTCTAGGCGACAGCGAGCAGCGAAGTCGACAAGCTCAGCAACTAGGGCAGACGCAGCAGTAGACTCAAAGGAAGGGTCAGTGACGACAGTAGCAAGGAGACGCGTGACAGTAGGACGCGCAGCACGAAGGGAGTCCGACTCCGGGTCAGGAAGTGCAGGAAGAGAGGACGCGGGAGGAGAAGGCAAAGGGGCACGCAGCGGAGCAGTGGAAGGACGCAGAGACATCCGGTGCGTGCCGGGGACAGGGGGAGGACGCTGACGCGAACCACGACCTGCCACTACTGCGAGCAGCACGGACCGGCGACGCAGGGCGAGACGCCGCTCAGCAAGACCTCCAGTAGGACCAGCGTAGGGAGAAGGAGAAGGAAGCGGGGAGGCCGGCTGTAACTGTGACTCAGACTGGACAGGAGGCGGACACTCTAAGCCAGGAGCAGGACCAAGAGAGGACGGAAGACCAAGAACCTGCTCAAGGAGCGGAACGAAGTACGGCCGTGGCCGCGCAGCGCCACCAGTACCAGCAGGAACAGCACCAGCACCCCCAACGGCAGCACCAGCACCAGGAGTACCCCCAGCTCCAGCAGCGCCAACTCCAGCACCCCCAGAAGCACCAGCGCCAGTAGCACCTCCAGTGCCAACACCCCCAGTAGCTCCAGCTCCAGCCGGACCACCCGAAGACGCAGCAGCTCCAGCTCCAGGAGCACCAGCAGCACCAACGCCAGGAGCACCAGCAGCACCAACGCCAGGAGCACCAGCAGGACCACCAGCTCCAGCAGTAGGAGCACCCGTAGGCCCAGCAGCTCCAGTACACCCTGTACGAGCACCTCTGGGACCCTCTGCACCAGCACCCTCAGCAGCAGCAGAACCTCCAGCGTCCGTAGCACCGCCAGCTCCAGCAGCACGCCTCCAGCAGCGGGCAAACCACTCACGCAGCTCCTGTGGAGAGAGTAGCTCCCGCCGGGACGAAGCACCCGAAGAACCTCCAGGCCCAGCACCACCAGACGCCACACGAGCAGGCCCAGCACCCTCAGGCTCCGCACTCCGAGACGCAGCACCCCCAGGCTCAGCACCCCCAGGCACAGCACCCCCAGGCGCAGCATCCCCAGGCTCAGCACCACTAGACTCAGCACCCCCAGGCCCAGCACCCCCAGGCTCAGCACCCCCAGGCCCAGCACCCCCAAGCTCAGCACCCCCAGTCGCAGCACCCCCAGACCCAGCACCCCCAGGCTCAGCACCAGAGTCAACAGCTACCTCGACAGGCTCGACTGCATCTACCTGGGACACACCTGAGGGGGACCTGGCGTAAGGAAGAGCGGCGGGGGAGGGAGGGACGCAGTGCGGTAGGGGAAGAGACGGTAGTAGGGAACCGACTCGTCAAAGGTGACGTCCTGGGAGGACAGAACACGGCGCGAGGTGGGGTGGTAGAACTGCCAGCCTGGCGCGTCAGGAGGGAAGCCAAGGAAGACGCAGGGAACAGCACGAGGGGACAGCTTGTCCGCAGACAAGTCGCGGACAAACGCCCGAGATCCCCAGACACGGAACGCAGACGCATCGCCAGCCTTCCCCGTCCACAGTAAAGCAGGGGAGGTCTCCGGCATGGAGACCCGGGGGTGAAGGTTGATCTGATGCGCCGCGTACCGAACCGCAAACGGCCACAGAAAATGGGGGGCAGCCGCATGGACCATGGACGTACGAGCGACGTCCATGATCATGCCAATGCGGCGCTCAGCAATCCCATTTTTCTGTGGAGAGTCCGGAAGCGTGAAGGTCTGGCGGATGCCTCGTGCACGACAGAAGGCCCGCAGAAGGTCAGAGGAGAACTCTCCGCCTCTGTCGGAGTGCAGACGCAGGACAGGAAAGTCCGAGCCGAAACTCTCCCGGAGCTGGAGACGAGCTGCGCGGATCCAGGCGATCAACACCTCAGTGACATCACCCTTGCTGCGCAAGGGGAAGACTGTGGTGTAGCGCGAGTAGTCGTCAACCACCAACAGGAAGTAACGCTCGTGACCCTGCCCACGGACGCGGGCAGGGCCCCACACGTCCATGTGAAGCGTCTGCAGTGGAGCCTCTGTCGGAGGAAACTCGGAGGAGTGAGGAGCAGCGCGCTGCCGCCCCTCGACGCAAGGAACGCAGGTGGGGGCAGGCCCCGGAGGAAGGGGAGGGAGGGACCGGGGGAGGCCAGAGACAAGAAGACGGGAAGCCATGCCTCGAAGACGAGGCAGGGAGGGGTGACCAAGGCGGTGGTGCCAGAGGAGAGTCCGGTGGGACAGGAGACGACACGAGCAGGGGGCAGACTCAGGGCCAGACCTGGACGCCGCAGCAAACACCTGACCCGACGCTGCTACCTGAGCAGACTCAGCGACTGGAGGAGACTTAGTGGTGAGTGTGTACAGGCTCGACCCCGGCTGACGGGTAAACGTGGCCAAGTGACGGCCCGACCGAGCACAGGTACAGTGGGTCACTCGCTGACTCGCAGGAGTGAACTGGTGAACCCCTGCATCCTGGAGGTCAGCACCACTCACCAATTTCGTAGAGAACGAGGGGAGGTAAAGGCCTGACAGGGTGCCAGAAGGGGCCGCCGGACACGGTAGGACAGTGGAGAAGCGGGCAAGGACAGGGCCCCCAGAGGGGTCTGCCAGGGAGACCGCCACTGGCCGACTAAGCGGCGTGAGCGTGGTGCAGTCTCGAAAGAAGGAGCGGGAAGCACCCGAGTCAAGGGTGAAGGTGTGGGTGTCCGGAGACGACGCAGTACCTGAGAGCGCAGACTCACCGGCACCTGGGGCGGCAGACGCACTGGCACCTAGAGCAGCAGCCTCACCAGCACCTAGAGCAGCAGCCTCAATGCCCGGGTCGGGCGGAAAACACCGGTAACAGTCACCCTCATCACTAATAGTCACAGCATACATGGCAGCAAGAATAGCATCATAATCAAGATCAAAGATCGCAACACCCGCCCTAGACAGCTCGCCCCAGCGAGGGATCTCAGTAGCGTCGGGGAACTGGTGACGCCAAGCGTCCGTCAGACGGCCGAAACAGCGCTGGGTGGAGTGCGCCCCTAAACACTGCTCACCTACGGAGAACGTAGGTACAGGGGCCAGCACCCCCGCCCCGCTGACGAGCAGCGTACCACTCACGAAGCTGCTGGGGGGAAGGGGTCTCACGAGGACGCTGCTGCTGCTGCTGCTGGCGCTGCCCACCACCGGAGCCGACCCTCTGCGTAGAGCCGCCCCGACCCGCTCCACCTCCGCCGCCGCTACCTCCACCACCGCCTCCTCCTCCGCCGCCACTGCCCCCACCAGTGCCCCCACTCCCACCACCACTCCCACCGCCACCCCCACTCCCTCCGCCTCCTCCACTGCCGCCTCCACCGCCTCCGCCAGCTCCCCCAACGCCCTTGCCCCCCTTGCCCTTGCCCGGGCGACGTCTCCCGCTAGGGGTAGACGCCGCAGCGACCGACTCAGGAACAACGAGGTCGGCCGCAGCAGCAGAGGCAACAGAGGGCAAGAGGGGGGAGGGGGAGCACCCCTCAAAGACAGGGGTACGAGGGTCACCACGAGAGGCTCCTACAGCAACTATGCTCGTCTCTGCTGCTAGGAGACGCTCCTCGAGGAGGTCAACGGTGAGAGTGGTGGGGCAAACAGAGAGAAAGTGGTCCCTGACCGAGCGAAGGGTGTCAGGGAGCCGGGTGACTATGTAGTAGAGGGTGATGTACATTGGGGCAGGGTTCTTGGCGCAGAACTCAGCAGGAAGCGCAGCGCGGTAGCGAGTGTCACTAGTGCGAAGGTGCGTAATGAGGTCAGCGACAGTGGGAAAAGCGGCGAGGTCAGGGAAGAGGTACGGCAGTATGAGGCGGCTAAGTGCAGCAGTGGCAGGGGAAGAGTAGCGTGCAACTACAGCGTCGTACAAGGTCTTAGCACTCTTGTACTGACTAAAGTGCGCAGCGGTCGGCAAGTGGCGGCACACAGCAAGGCGGGCAGCAGCATCGCGCGTGGCCCACTGTGAGCGAACAGTGGCGTCAGCATCAGCAGCAGGGGAAGGAGAGGCACCAGAAGTGAGGTCAAAGAGGGAGAGACCGTCTGCCCTATCGCACTGTAGGAAAAGCTGCAGATCATCGAGCCAGACCTCAAAGTCAACAGCCCGACCCTCAGCGTCAAAGGTGAGAACACTGGGGGTGGCCATGACAGCAGTAGACGAGCAGTGAGAGCAGCAGGCTAAGGGCAGTGCAGTGGCAGAGGCGCTGCTCTTACCGGGCAGGCGAGAAGGGCCGAGGCTCGCCGGGAGGGACAGGGCCGCGACTGCAGTGACAGCGGCAACTCGGCTGCGGCGGCTGAGGCAACGACGGCAACAGCGGCTCGGCGACAACAGCGGCTCGACGGCTCGGCGGCTCAACGGCTCGAATGCTCAGCGGCTCGGCGGCTCGGCAGCTCGGTGGTCTCGGGGCCGTGAAGGGTGGCGTCGGGGCCGCAGAGGGGCGGCGGCGAGGCCGCAGTAGGGCGGCGTCGGGGCCGCTAAGGGTGGCAGAGCCGCGGACGGGCGGCGACGTTGCCGCAGGGGGCGACGACGGGGCCGCGAAGGGGCGGCGACGGGGCCGCAAGGGGCGGCGACGGGGCCGCAAGGGGCGGCGACGGGGCCGCAGGGGCGACGGGGCCGTGGAGGGGCGGCGACGAGGCCGCGAAAGGGCGGCGACAGGGCCGGGTGGGGCGGCGACGAGGCCGCGAAGGGCGGCGACGGGGCCGCGGAGGGCGGCGCCGGGGTCGCGTAAGGCGGCGACGGGGCCGGTAAGGGCGGCGACGGGGCCGCGAAGGTGGGGCGACGGGGCCGCTAAGGGCGGCAACGGGGCCTCGAAGGTGGGGCGACGGGGCCGCTAAGGGCGGCGAAGGGGTCGCGTAAGGCAGCGTGAGGAGGGTGCGACGGGCCTCCTAAGGGCAGCACACCGAGCGCGCCTCGGGCAGGGGCGACGCGCGCCCCGGGCAGGAAAAAAAAGATCGATTTGGGTGGGCCCTAGGAAAAGTTCCCACTAGGGAACCTGCTCTGAAACCATGTGAAAATGAGAACGAGGAATGTGTGCATTAAGCAGCATGAGGAGTACAAGTATGAAACCCTAAAGTGTTGTACCCCATATGAGCTACCCCACTACAGCCTACACAGACTATAGTATATGAGTTTGACAGCGCGGTGCTTTTTTCTTCCCGCCGCGCGCTCGGGGCGCGTCCCCCCCCCCCCGGTCGGCGGTCGCATCGCCCCCCCGGGAGACCGTCGCGTCGCCCCGCTGGCCCGCGCGTCGCCCCCGCTACCCCGTCGCGACGCCCTGAGGAGCCGCGCGCGACCCCGCTGCCCCGTCGCGACGCCCTCGGGAGCCGCGCGCGGCCCCCCGCTGCCCCGTCGCGACGCCCTCGGGAGCCGCGCGCGGCCCCCCGCTGCCCCGTCGCGGCGCCCTGGGGAGCCGCGCGCGGCCCCCCGCTGCCCCGTCGAGGCGCCCTGGGGAGCCGCCCTCCCCCGAGCTGCTGCCCGCGCACCGCCCCCCCCGCTGCTGCCTGTGTTAGGGTTTGGGGGTGGCGAGTGTGGGGGTGGCGAGTATGGGGGTGACGGGTGTGTGCGCCGTCCCCTGCTCCTCCTCCTCCTCCGTCTCCCACTGCTGCAGCTGCCGCTGAGGGGGGTGGATGTTGTTAAGTTTTGTTATATACCCTGCTTGCTGTGTGTTCTAGTGTAGCTACAGTAAGTTGTTGGTGGTGCACCAATGTGCTCACCTTTCTTTGCTATATCTTGTAACCTTGCTGTAGTGAACCGCACCTTCCTGTTTCTCTCGCTCACGCTACCCCAAACCCTAAGGCTACTATTCTAACATGGTAATCAGAGCAGGCCGTTCCTAGGCCTAGTTTTATGCTCGTTATGGCGGCGCCTCGAGTCGCTGCTGATCGACACGGTGGCGAGCTGCGCAATGGCGAGATCCGTCGCTCCGTGCCCGTTTTGTCTTCCCGTTCGCTCCCATTACGCCTTGCTCGTCGCGCTCGTAGTGCCCTGCTCATTGCGCCCTGCCCGACGCGCCGTCGCTCGCCCCGCCCCGCGCACGACCCCGTCGCCCGCGGCCCGGTCGCCTCGCCGCTGGCCACGCACGCTCAGGCGCCAGCGCGAACGTCAGCGCCAGGCGCCGTCGCGGACGCCAACGCCAGCGCCAGCACGGACAGCAGGCACCAGCGCCAGCGCCAGCGCCGACACGTGCGCCAACGCCAGCGCCAGCGCAAGCGCCGGCGGCAGCTCCCCCCCCCCCCCCCCCCTCCATTTCACGGCTTCCGTCGTGGGGGGGTGGGGGGGAGGGGGAGATGTGGGGGTGGCGGGTGTGAGCCGCCAGCAGCTCCTTACACCGCCCCCCCCCTTCCCTTCCGCGGCTTCTGCCATGGAGAGGGGGTGGGGGGGGGGGAAGAAGGGGAGGAGGGTGAGGGGGTGGCGGAAGTAGACAGGTGCTGAGGGTGTGAGGTTAAAAGGGTTGACTGACAGGGGGGTGAGGACTTGGGGGTTATTAACGGGGGGGGGGATCGCAATGAGCTTGCGCGCTCATGCCCACCTAGCCCACCTCCTCTCCTCATCGGGACTTGGGGGTTATTAACGGGGGGGGGATCGCAATGAGCTTGCGCGCTCATGCCCACCTAGCCCACCTCCTCTCCCTTTCCTCTCTCACACCCCCCTTTGTAAAAGGAGGCTCGTAAGCAGGTAGCTCCCCACCTCCTCTCCTCTTCTCTCCTCTCCTCTCCTCTCACCTCCTCCTCCTTCCTAACCTCTCTACCCTCTTCCGCTGCGCCACGTGTACCTGTACTAGTTATCACGGCAAGCAGGTTAAGGGGGTGTGTTAAGTTTTGTTATATACCCTGCTTGCTGTGTGTTCTAGTGTAGCTACAGTGGTGGTGCACCAATGTGCTCACCTTTCTTTGCTATATCTTGTAACCTTGCTGTAGTGAACCGCACCTTCCTGTTTCTCTCGCTCACGCTACCCCAAACCCTAAGGCTACTATTCTAACAGATGTGTGGGGGCCGTCGGAGTGGTACTAGGGGGGTGGCGTGTGAGCAGTGCTAGAGGTGCAGCAGGGGGTGTGTGAAAGGGGTGTGGGACAGCTGGGGGAAGTTGAGTGGAGGCAGCCGTCTTGTCGTCCGCAGCGCCTGTAGTCCAGAGAGCCAGCTGCGTCTGTGGCCTGAGTAGTCCGGGTATAGCCTGGTAGCCACAGTGTGAGCACTCCTGGTAGTCCAGAGAGCCAGCTGCGTCTGTGGCCTGAGTAGTCCGGGGCTCTGCGCCTGGTAGCCACAGTGTGAGCACTCCTGGGAGCACAGAGATTCAGCTGCGTCTGACGCCGTGTAGTTCGGGGCTCTGCGCCTGGTAGCGACAGGGTTACGCACTCCAGTTGCCCGTGTGTCTGCAGCTTCAGCCATCGCCTCCCATCTTCTCGCCCCCACAGTTTCTCCTCCTCCTCACTTGCCCTCTGTGATAGTCTCTAGCTTTGCTTATCATTGTGAACTACTGCTCTGCCTGCTTGTTGTGTTGATTGTACCCCACTTTGACTATGGGGGTGTGTCAGAATGTGATGTTTGTCTAGCCTGCAGTGGGGTACTCTATAGCGAGTACAACCCGAATTAGGGTTTGCTATATGTACTCAACTGTCTGCTAGTGAAAACCACTCTTTCCTGTTTCTGATTCTCGCCCACTGTTTCAACACAGACCCCCGGAGACGCAATTCGGGATTTTCAAGACTTTCCCAACTCTTTCCGAACATCCTTGAGGGTGATGCGAAGCAGTTTCCGCGCGAGGGGATGGTGGCCTGGGCGACTTGTGGCGAGCTGTGGCGAGATTTGTGCGAGTTTACCTGGTATCTTATCGGGCGACGAATTCAGAGCGATAGCTGCGCGAGAGCTGTAAATTTCGTAGGGTCAAGTAACCTGCTCCAACTCGGTTGGGTTGGGTCTGGTCGACCAGGTCGACCCGGGTCTGGCAGACCCGACCCGACCCGGTTGGGTCGACCTGGTCGGGTAGACCCGCGATGCAATCTTCCTAGAAATGAAGGGTCTAGGGGTGGTCGACCTTATCCATGTGGGTCGCAACACGTCGTAAGAGTGGGGCAGTACACAGAGCACTAATTATACATTTTCTAATTGACTAAAATGTTTGGATGGTTGTTGTGAGACTTCACTTCAGGATAACTAAACATACCAAGTGCTGAATTGGCGCAGAAAAGCATTGACAACAATTTGTAAATAATAAAATGGCATATCGAGAAACACATTAGCCATACATTTCCAAACGTACACTCAAGCTCATATCCAGCAACTCATAAGGGTCTCGGCCGGCCACATAACAACATGTCGAGCCTTGCCCCACCGCAGTGCAGACCAGCCTTGCCCCACCGCACATGCCTGTTGAGAATGCAAGGCAGGAATGAATTGACTAGATCAGGGTTTGGTACAAATATGAAACCCTAATGGGGTTGTACCCCATGTTGGCTACCCCACTACAGCCTACACATATATAACATGCATATAATTTGACACACCCCATAGGCAAAGTGGGGGAGAACAAGGGGTCACAAGACCAGTCAAGAGAAGCAAAGCAAGCTCAGGGTGGATCACAACGTCACCACACACTGAGCACAAGCAAAGGGCCACAAGGCCAGTTCACATGCAGAGGTATATATGCAACAAGCACAGTACAGTGATCACTACCTAGCAAGAACAAGCATGCAGGTATTTAAAAAGAGATCACAGTACAAGCAGAGTCTACAGCAAGTGAGGAAACGTAGGCACAAGGCCCAACAAAGTACAAAAGCGCTGATGGTCACCAGACGGAAGTGCCTTGGTGAATATATCAGCAGTGTTGGCCCGAGTGGCCACGTGTGCAAGACGAAGCTGACCACACTGCTGCAACTCTCGAGCCAGGAAGTAACGCAGAGCAATGTGCTTCGTTCTGTGCTCCAGTCTGTGCTCCTCACACAAGGCAATGGCGGCCTTGTTGTCGATGTACAGAACTGGAGGAGAACGAGGCCGCTCTTCCAAGTCGGTCAGCAGGTAAGTGAGCCAGCGTAACTCCTGAGCAGCCATGGCGGTGGCGTAGATCTCAGCCTCACAACTGGAGCTGAGAACAGAAGACGAGCGAGTAGAACGCCAAGAAACAGAACCTGAGCCAAGGCTGAAAGTGTAACCCTGTGACGACCGCTGCGTAGCCTGGTCGTCAACCCAAGAAGCGTCTGAGTGCCCAGTGAGGACCACGTCTCTCCGCCCTCCAAGCACGAGCCCCATGCCAGATGTACTGCACAAGTAGCGCAGTACCCTCTTCGCAGCATCCCAGTGCACCTTTCGGTGTCGACCAGGAGCCACGTAGCATGCCAGAAGGCCAAGAGGGTACGCAAGGTCAGGACGAGTGCAGGTCATCAGATACATGAGGCAGCCCATTGACTCTGGGTAAGGACCACTCGGCTCTACGGACTCGTCCGAAGGTGGAGCTGAGAACGAGTGACCTTTAGCCAGAGGAGTGGCCTGTGCCGAGGACCAGGTGAAACCGAAGCGCTGAAGGACCTGCTGCACCATGTGTGACTGAGTCAGTGTGATGGTGCGGCGTGCTCTGTCCCAGGTGATCTGCAAGCCAAGGTAGCTGCGCAGCTCACCCAGGTCTGTGTACGTGTGTCTCTTCTGCAGCTCCGACTTCACCAGGGCGAGAGCCTCAGTGTCAGCAGTGGCAAAGACCAAGTCGTCGACGTACACGAGGATGTAGAACGGCGGCAGCGACGTGTCGGTGCGCAGAAACAACGACGGATTAGCAGTCGACGGAGCAAACCCAAGAGCCGCAAGCGTCGTCCTCAGTGTGTCGTGCCACTCACGCGGTGCCTGGCGG